CAAAACAATAAAATCCATGTATAACAAATCCACAGCTAACATCACATTCAATGTGGAAAAGTTGAAAGCCTTCTGAGATCTGGAACAGATAGTGTTGACCGCTTTTACCAGTTTCATTCAACATAGTATTGGAAGTCCTAGCCAGAGCAATTAAGTCAGAGAAATAAATAAAGGGCATACAAATTGGAAGGAAGGAAGTTAAATTGTCCCTGTTTGCAGACCACATAAACTTATGTTTAGAAAACCCCATAGACTTCAATGAAAAACTGTCAGAACTGATTTTAAAAACTCAGTAAAGCTGCAGGATACAAAATCAACATAAAAAATCAGTAACATTTCTATACACCAATACCAAACAACCTGAAAATAAATCAAGAAAGCAATTTCATTTACAGTAGCTACAAAAAAAAAAAAATCCTAGGAATAAATTGATCTAAAGAGGTGAAAGATCTCTACAGCGAGAACTACAAAACACTGATGCAAGAAACTGGAAAACACACACACACACACACACATACACACACACACATACACACACACAAAATAGAAAGATATTCCATGTTCATGGGTTAGAAGAATAAATGTTAAAATGTTCAGACTACTAAAAGCAATCTACAAATTCAAGGCAAACCCTATCAAAATACTAATAATATTCTTCGTCAACATAGCAAAACAATCCTAAAATCTGTATGGAAACAAGATCCAGAATAGCCACAGCTTTTTTGAGCAAAAAGAACAAAGCTGAAGGCATTATATTACCTGACCTCAAAATATACTACAAAGTTATAGTAAACAAAACAGTGTTATACTGGCATAAAAATAGTCACATACACCAACGGAACAGAATAGAGAACACACAAATGAATCCACATATTTACAGTCATCTGGATTTTTGACAAAGTCATCAAGAACATACAATGGGGGAACAAAAGTATTTAAAATAAATGGTGCTGGAGAAACTGAATATCTATATGCAAAATAATGATATTAGACCCTTTTCTCTCACCATATACAAAACTCAGTTAAAAATGAATTAAATACTGATATGTATGACTCAAAGTATGAAAATACTAGAAGAAAACATAGGGAATACTGTTCAGGACACTGGTGTAGCCAGAGGATTTTTGGATAAGACCTCAAATGCACCAAGAACAAAAGCAAAGATAGACAAATGGGATTATATAAAACTAAAAACTTCTTCACAGCAAAAGAAGCAATCAAGTGAGTGAAGAGTTAACCTCCAGAATGGGAGAAGATATTTGCGAACTATCCATCTGACAAGGGATTACTATCCAGAGTATATAAGGAATTCAACCAACTCTATAGCAAAAAAAAAATCTAATAATCCAATTAAAAAATGGGCAAAAGATCTGAATAGATACTTACCAGAAGAAGATATACAAATGGCAATCAGGTATATGAAAAGGTGCTCAACATCATTGATTATTAGAGAAACACAAATCAAAACTACAATGTAATATAATCTCACTCCTGTTAAAATGACTTTTATCCAAAAGACAGGTAGTAACATATGCTAGTGAGGATGTGGAGAAAAGGGAACCCTTGTACACTGTTGGTGGGAAAGTAATTAGTACACCACTATAGAGAACAGTTTGGAGGTTCCTCAAAAAACTAAAAATAGAACTACCATATGATCCAGCAATCCCACGGCTAGGTATATACCCAAAAGAAAGGAAATCAGTATATCCAAGAGCTACTTGCACTCCCATGTTTATTACAGCACTAATTACAGTAGCCATGATTTGTAAGCAACCTAAGTGTCCATCAACAGACAAACACACAAAGAAAATATGGCATACATACACAATGGAGTAGTATTCAGTTATAAAAAGAACAAGATTCTGTCATTTGCAACAACCTGGATGGAACTGGAGGTCATTATGTTAAGTGAAATAAGCTAGGCACAAAAGACAAACTTTGCATGTTCTTTTTTATTTGTGGAAGTTAATAATTAAAACAATTGAACTCATGGAGATAGAGAGTAGAACGATGGCTACCAGAGGCTGGGAAGGGTGGTGGGGGCATGGAGATGAAGTGGGGTTAGTTAATGAGTACAAAAATATGATTAGACAGAATGAATAAGATCTAGTATTTGATAGTATAACAGGGTAACTACAATCACCAATAATTTATTTTACATTTAAAAAATAGCTAAAAGAACTAGTTTACAATCCCACCAACAGTGTAAAAGTGTTCCTATTTCTCCACATCCTCTCCAGCACCTGTTGTTTCCTGACTTTTTAATGATCGCCATTCTAACTGGTGTGAGAAAACAGTATGGCGATTCCTCAAGGATCTAGAACTAGATGTACCATATGACCCAGCCATCCCATTACTGGGTATATACCCAAAGGATTATAAATTATGCTGCTATGAGGACACATGCACACGTATGTTTATTGCAGCACTATTCACAATAGCAAAGACTTGGAATCAACCCAAATGTCCATCAGTGACAGATTGGATTAAGAAAATGTGGCACATATACACCATGGAATACTATGCAGCCATAAAAAAAGATGAGTTTGTGTCCTTTGTAGGGACATGGATGCAGCTGGAAACCATCATTCTTAGCAAACTATCACAAGAACAGAAAACCAAACACCGCATGTTCTCACTCGTAGGTGGGAACTGAACAATGAGATCACTTGGACTCGGGAAGGGGAACATCACACACTGGGGCCTATCATGGGGAGGGGGGAGGGGGAGGGATTGCATTGGGAGTTATACCTGATGTAAATGACGAGTTGATGGGTGCAGCACACCAACATGGCACAAGTATACATATGTAGCAAACCTGCACGTTGTGCACATGTACCCTACAACTTGAAGTTTAATAATAATAAATAAATTAAAAAAAAAATAGCTAAAAGAGTATAATTGTATTGTTTGTAGCACAAAGAAAAGATAAACTCTTGAGGCAATGAATACCCCATTTACCCTGATGTGATTACTATGTATTGTATGCTTGTATCAAAATATCTCATCTACCTCATAAATACATACACCTACTTTGTACCCACAAAAATTAAAAATTAAAAACAAACAAATAAAAACCAAAAATACAGATATTCTGTTCTTCAGATGTTCCCTTAAAGAAAGTAAAAAGATGAGGTAAGCATTGCAAGAAGATAAGTGCAATGCATTTGTATGTGACAAAGAAAGAATGTGTATGTGTGAACACACACACAGTATTTATCCTCTCACATATTGCTTAATGATTATCAAGTATGTTGTTTGGTATCTAGCTATTGAAACTCCCCTCCTATGATCTACAAGTCTTGTAGTTTAGCCTTTCCTAGAACAGATGAGGTAACAAGCAAAAATAAGCTTTTGTAAACCACATAAATAAAGCATTTCCTACCTTTGTGGAGTTCTGGAAAACTGTAAAAGTGATCCAGGAGGCTAATATAAACAACAGTGCCCACAGCGACTTATAATTTATCATATTTATTTTCATGATTAGGATCCTACAAGAGACAATACAAAAACAAGCACAAAAACATACAACAAAACAAAACAGAAAAGCAAACAAATGTGGGAAACATTTGAAATTTTTTTGACTCATGATTACTTTTTAGCCTCAGATAAATAACTCCCAGAAGTAAACCTTCACCCTCCAAGCTGTACTTGGTATCTCCCAGGTGCTCTCTTTTAGCTATCTGCTTGTACATTCTACAGAACAAATATTTCATGGAGCCCACTGTGAACTTTAAGAAATTGAGCAGCTAAGGGCCTGAAGTATGCAAGCTTGCTTGTGTCTAGATGAAGTCTCCAGACTGTTTGTCACCTAACTATCAGGTTCCCTGTTCTATTCCCTTAAACTCAAGGGCAGACACAAAATACTCCAGCAAATATTGACACCGAGGACCACATGATTATAGTTCCTGTTGAATATAAATTAGTTTTTCTGTTTCATTAATGCCAATCTGTTAATATGTCCTCCTTTTCTGTTTTGGCAGGCTTTCTAGCACCTCTGAAGCTTGAAAAGAATTATTTTAAAACATTTCTTACTTAAAAAACAATTCAGGCCTTATCAGTATTTTTCTATGATTTATCTTAACATTTCTCTTTGCACTGGAATTCCAAGTTCTCTTTTAACTTGGAACTTTAAACTTTAACATCAGATTGCTTGAATGCTGCCCTTCTAAAACTTTCCATCCCTCAAAATTTACCCTCCCCTAGAAGCACCTTTCACCCCAGGTCCCTAGTTTATACATGGGCATTAGACATTTCTGCACCCAAAAATAAATGTTACACTTTTCCCTCACCCCCCCAATTTTACAAATATTTTCATACCTTTAGTTTATAGATTGTTCAATCCCGTACATAGACTCTCTGGTGAGCTAGGAGTTGAGGATTTCTTCTGAAGCCACCAGTGTGCTACTGGCATACCTCTCCTTTGTACCACAATAAACTGCAGATATAAGTTACAGTTTGTTTACCTTTAGCATGGATTCACAACCTTTTGCTTGTTTCAGCTAAGACAGAAGTGTCAGCTATGTCAACTCCACCTTAAGGAGGGGCCTGGATCACAAACTGTAGTTATTAGCTCAAGCAGAGGCAGGAAGGAGAAATGAAGTGTTCTGCATAGTAGGCTATATGATTTCAAATTCCTAAAGTTTTATGAGTCTAATTTTAGTTACAATAAATAACTGACGAGAAAAAGAATGTTGGATAAATAATTGTATTTAGTTAATACAATTTGATAAATATTATAGTTACAATAAATAACTGATGAGAAAAAGAGCCAGAAGTTTGAATGATGGAGAGTAATCGTCAACCGAAAGTCAAACTTTCTAGTTTCCATCTGAGCGTTATCCTCAAGACCCAGTTGGCAGGATTCAAGTGCATATTATCTCATACATAGTAGGTTTCAATACAATTTGCTGAATTGAACTAAAAGAACCTCAAATATAACATAGGGAAGACAATAATATTAATTGCATCTGAGACTAACAGAGTGACAGCTTATAGTCATGGGTTTGAATCCATCTGGAATTTGTATTCTTGATCTGATGAAAACAGTGCTGGAAATAGCAGGCACCCAGACAGCTGCACCAGTGCCCACAGGAAGCAGCAACTGCTGGCCCTGTGGCTCCCTCTATGGGTTTATTACTGCTGCCCTACACAGGAGGGTAAACTTATTTAAGCATGCCCATCAATCTTTCCAGTCTTATGTTTTTAAAAAGATGGAATCAAGACCAATTTCACAACTGGTCTTCTTGTTTCAGATCTTGAAATTCTTCCAACATCTTTGATCCTGTTCTACCAAATTCGCTTTAACAATACTTCTTTATGTCTTTACATGATGACCTTTGGAAAAGCTGTTTTAACCTTATAAAACTGGGTCTATGATTGTCAAATTTTTCACTGAGGAGCCTGTAATAAGAAAAAAGTATTTGCAGTGGGTTTGGTTTGGCTGCTCCATAGAGGACTGATGCCAGCACCCACCCAAGTTCACAGTCTACTCTGAGACATACAGATTTATAGATTTTAATTTGGTTTGGTCACATAGATTTTGAAATCTAATGTTAACCTGGGATCTTTTTATGAGGTAGGCATAATAGATATGCTTGAGCACAGAAGAAAGTTTGAATGATTTGTGCAGGTCATCTGATGAACTTTGAAACAGGACTGAATCCAAGATTCCTGTCATTTTGATCTCTAACACTGTGTGTTTATAGTGTATATGTATGACAACATAAGCACAAAGAATAAAAAGTAGGAAGTTGGAAAAACTATCTTGAAGTCTTTATACCATGTGTGAATTGGGATAACATTACTTGAAGATAGACTCTGATTAATTAAGAAAAATACTGTAACCCTAGTATAACCACTAAATATTTCTTTTAAAAAGTGGTATATATAATAAATCAACAATGAGGATTAGATGAAATAATAAAATATGTTTGATTAGCCCAATAGAAGGAAAAGAAGGAAAAAAAGAAGTGGAACATGGAAAACGTCTGTCAATATATTCTTAAATTCAAATATATGAACAGTGATCTGAAATCAGAATGATATAAACCAGGGGTGGACAAACTTTTTCTATGAAGAATCAGATAGAAAATATTTTACGAGAAAGAAACTATAAACAAGAAAATGTAATGGGTATATTAAAATTAACCTTGTGATATTCACAAGGATTAGAATTATCAGTATGCATTCAGAGTTTTTTGATGGATAAATATGCATTTGTATGTATACATGGGTTCATGCACACAGACATATATTTTCAAGCTCTGTCCATAGAGAAGCCCTAGAAGCAATGACACCTAGTGCCTAGACCTTGGTTTCTTTATTCTCCAGTAAAGGGAGCCAGAATTTCTTGGAGAAGTGGCTAGTTGATTCCATCACTTTGTCAGGGGATATGAGATGAGCCTAGAGCATCTTGTGGTGGTAGGAAATGTCTTTTAAAAAATGAAGGGACATGACAAAATGGTCCAGAAACTAACTTGAAAGAGCTCCTGATGACCAAAGTTGCAACAATTTGAGCCACAAAATAAATAACAATTGTTTTGGAATATATATTAGTCTACTCTCACATTTCAAAATACAATCATTGTTCTCACATTTCAAAATACAATCATGCCTTCCCAACAGTACCACAAAGTCTTAGTGAATTTCAGCATTAATTCAAAAGTCCAAAGTCCAAAGTCTCATTTGAGACAAGGTAAGTCCCTTCCACCTATGAGCCTGTAAAATCAAAATCAAGTTAGTTACTTCCAAGATACAATGGGACTATGGGTGTTAGGTAAATATTTACATTCTAAAAGGGAAAAATTGGCAGAAAGAAAGGGGCTACAGGCTTCATGCAAGTTCAAAACCCAGAAGAGCAGTCATTAAACTTCAAAGCTTCAAAATAATCTCCTTTGAACCCATGTCTCACATCCAGGGCACATTGATGCAAGGGGTGGGTTCCCAAGGACCTGGGCAGCTCTGCCCCTGTGGCTTTGCAGGGTTCAGTCCCTGCAGCTGCTCTCAAGGGCTGATGTTGAGTGCCTTTGGTTTTTCCAGGTGATGAGTGCAAGCTGCTAGTGTATCTACCATTCTGGGGTCTGGAGGATGGTGGACCTTTTCTCACAGCTCCACTAGGCAGTGCCCCAGTGGGGACTCTGTGTGGGGGCTCAGGCCTCACATTTCCCCTCCACACTGCCCTAGTAGAGGTTATCTATGAGGGTTCCACTCCTGCAGCAGACTTCTGCCTGGACATCCAGGCTTTTCCATACATCCTCCTAAATCTAAGTAGAGTCTCTCAAGCCTCAACTCTTGCACTCTGTGCACCTGCAGGCTTAACACCCTGTGGAAGCCACCAAGGCTTATGGCTTGCACTCTCTAAAGCAATGGCTTGAGCTGTACCTGGGTCTCTTTGAGCCAGGGCTGGAGCTGGAGCAGCTGGGATGCAGGGACCAGTGTCTTGAGGCTGTGCAGGGTGATAGGGCCCTGGGCCTGGCTCACAAAACCATTCTTCCCTTCTAGGCTTACAGGTCTGTGATGGGAGAGGCTTCCACAAAGGTTTCTGAAATGCCTTTGAGGCCTTCTCCCTATTGTCTCCACTATTAGCATTTGACTCCTTTTCACTTATGCAAATTTCTGCAGCCTTCCTGAATTCCTCCCCTGAAAATGGCCATTTCTTTCTACCACATGGCCAGGCTGTGAATTTTTCAAACTTTTATACTTTGCTTCCTTTTTAATATAAGTTCCAGTTTTACATCATTTTTTGCTCATACATATGAGCATAGGTTGTTAAAGCAGCCAGGCTGCTTCTTGAATGCTTTGCTGCTTAGAAATTTCTTCTCCCAGATACCCTAAATCATCACTCTGAAGTTCAAAGTTCCACAGATCCCTAGGATGGGGGCACAATGCCTCCAAGTTCTTTGCTAAAGCATAATAAAAGTGACCTTTACTCCAATTCCCAATAAGTTCCTTATCTCCATCTGAAACCTCCTCAGCCTGGACTTCGTTGCCCATATCACTACCAGTATTTTGGTGGCAACAATTTAACAAGTCTCTAGGAAGTTCCCAAGTTTCTCTTATATTCTTATCTTCTTCTGGGCCCTCTACCTTCTGCCTGTTACCCAGTTAAAGTTGCTTCCACATTTTCAAGTATATTTTTGGCAGTGTTCCACTCCTCAGTACCAATTTTCTGTATCAGTCTGTTCTCACTCTGCTATAAAAATATTTGAGACTGGGTAATTTATAAAGAAAAGAGATTTAATTGGCTTATGGTTCCACAGGCTGTACAGGGAGCATGGTAGCTTCTGCTTCTGGGAAGGCCTCAGGGAGCTTTTACTCATAGCAGAGGCAAAGTGGGAGCAGGTGTCTTACATGGCCAGAGTAGGAGCATGAGTTTGCGGAAGGGGCTACACACTTTTAAACAACAAGCTCTTGTGAGAACTCACTCACTATACAGTACCAGTTGGGGTTGGTGCTAAACCATTTATAAGAACTCTGCCCCCATGATCCAATTACCTGCTACCAGGCTTCAACTCCAACACTGGGGATTACAATTCCACATGAGATTTAGGCAGGGACACAGATCCAAGCCATATCAGAATATAACCCATAGAATTAAAAAAAAATCTATGAGTTCATATCTATAAAAGTAAATAATAGCATAAATAAATGGGGTAGAAGAAATAGCTGTTCCTCACAGAAGAATTGCTACTAACAAATATGGCAAAAGTGAAGGAAATACAAAATGAGCATTAGAACTCTTCAGTAATAATTGCTGTAGTCATTATCTGCTAATGAATACTAAAATCAGTGAAGAAAAATTTGAAGAAAAACAAGAGTTTATTTCCACCAATATATTTGTAATTTCAAAGTTAAAAATAGTGACATTGGAGTGGAGAAAATCAATGAACATCTGCTTACCCAAGTGACGAAGGTTAACATAACCAGTAATAAGACATATATTGGTTGGCAATAATCTGCCAGACTTTTCTGTAATTCAAAAACTCATTTAAAAGTCAAAACAATCAAAAATCTTCTCAAGTTGAAAAAAAAGTTATACATGAAATGACTCAGTTTCCTAATTCCTTCATTTACCAAATAGTCTGCCAAATAGTTAATCATTTCTAATAATAAGACACAAATGCTGTACTGAGAAGGGCATATCACGTCTATGGTATGCTTGACAACAATGTATAACTTCAATCTAATTATGAGAAAATTTTGGATAGAAAAAAAATTGAGCGATATTCTACAAAATAACTAATTTTTCTAAAGTGTCACAATCATGAAAAACCACGTAAGACTAAGCAACTGTCCCCAACTAAGGAGACATGATAACTAAATGCAATTTGAGATCCTGGATTGGGTCCTGAAATAGAAAAAGGATATTAATGGAAAAACTAGTAAAATCCAAAAAAAGTCTGTAATTTCATTGATAGTTGCTAGTGTACCAATGTTAATTTCTTAATTCTGAACATTTGGTGATAATTATGCAAGATGTTATTTACTGATGCTGGCTGAAGGATATATGAACATCCTGTATACTACTTTGAAACTTTTCTGTAATTCAAAAATGTATTAAAAGTAAAAAAATTTAAAACCACCTCAAATGGGAAAAAACAATATAGTTCTCCATGAAATGATTGTTTCCTCATATCATTTACCAAATAATTTGCCAAATAATTTGTTCATCATTTTGAACAGATTGATACTGCCACTTGAACGTTTCAAGTTGCCATCTATATATGCTTTAATCTAGTTTTAATCTATCAATGTCACACTGCTGTTTTTTGTTTTGCTATTTGTTTATTTATATTTAAATAACTTTAGGGGTACAAGTGGTTTTTGGTTACATGGATAAATTGTATAATGGTGAAGTTTGGAGTTTTAGTGTACCTGTCACCCAAATAGCATATATTTTCCCAATAAGTAATTTTGCATCCCATGTCCGTTCCCACTCTCCCTCTTTCTGAGTCTTCAAAGTCCCTTATACTACTCTTTATGTCTTTGGGTACTCATAGCTTAAATCCCACTTATAAGTGAGAATATGTGGTATTTTGTTTTTCATTCCTGAGTTATGTCACTTAGGATAATACCCTCCAGTTCCATCCATGTTGCTGCAAAAGACGTTATTTTGTTCTTTTTAAATTCATATATATTTATATTATATATATTGTGT